TGAACACTGCTTCCAATCTTGTCAGCCTCTTGAATGCTGTGCTCCCATGAATGACTGACTCCCAAATGGTGTAAGATTGTGCTTAGTGTCATTTCTGCTAGAAGCCTTCCTATTGAAGAGGGGTTTTGTTACAATACAAAAATACAGTTCTCAGTATAGAGCCTCCCTGCAGACACACATCAGATGTGGCTGGCAAAAGTAAAAAAACAATGAAAGCAAAGGGATGAAGTACTAAACTTACAAAAAAATAATACTGCAGTAATTTTTCTCCCTGTGGAAAGTGTTTTGTGTTCACCTCTAAGAAAGTCATCTACATTTCTTTAGCTTTGGAGAAGAAACCTCCACTATGAAACCCACCATTCCTTGTATTAAAGTCAGAGGTGCTAAAAGGTCTTTGAGGGTCTAAGTAGTGAAAGAATCCTCATGGTGGGTGTTTGCAGCATTTTCCATAAAGCACTGAATCTTCACATCCTCCATGTCCCAGCTTCTTAAAATTAACAAGACACATTCACATGTTCTGTTCTTTAACTAAAATTAACTCCTCTGTCACTACTAACTCAGACAGAAAACGTGGTAGGGAGTGAAATGCTGGGGTTCGAACCCCTAGCCCTGAATTAAGGTTGACATATGGGTGATTCCCACAGCCCTTCATACAGAGGTGGTAAATTTGCCTTATAGCTTCCTCCCAGGGTGCGGCCGGCCCTGCAGGGAGAGCCAGAAGGGAAATGAGCCCCAGGGGTCCCGCATGGAGTTGACAAAGGTCAGGTGTCTGCTTGGGGATAAAAGCCGGGACCACTTGCAGGGAGTCAGGAGTGTCTGTGTGTGGAGTGCACTCCACAGAGCTTCCTGGTTCAGGGCAGACCTCCTGACTCTCCTGGAGCTGGGCCCTGGTCTGTTTAGGCCTTTGCGAACGCGGGTCGATCGGGTGAGAGTTGCCATGTGGGCACCTTTTTCTTACGTGTTTAACTGGCTGGTCTGGCTGTTTCCCATGCCAACTGCGGGCAACCTCGGCTCACTGTTTGTACCGCCTGTTGTGGGCCGGGTCATGTCGTTTGTGAGATCGTTGGGGGTGACGTTGATCATGTACAAGCTTGTTGACTTGTTTGTACCCCGGCGGTCATTCATATAGTAACATTTCTGTCTACAATACAGTCTGCATATTGGTTCATCCTCCTGCTGGTGGTGGTATCATTTTTGTTGGGCCTGGTCATTGGCAAAACAGGGAGTTATCCAGGGCTAACAGAATAAGCTGTATCAGAAGGTTTGGCTGGCTAGGATGCTATTTAACAGAGATACATATTGCAAGGTAAATTTTCTAAACAATAACACAAAATAGAAACTGAAAATAATCTGTGACCTTGAAGGTCAGCCATCACATACAACTAGATTAAGTAATGATGACTCAAAGCCAAACTGCACTGTACATTCAAATCATTAAAATACAAAGGACAAAAAAAAAAGGGTGAAAAAAAGTGAGCTAGTAATAGGTGATTGTGCTTAATTACGGAGTAAAATGCATGATAGGAGCAAGGTGGCTTTCACAGAAGAAAACATATTGATGGGAGGCACAAAACCACTGGCACAGATGAGTTCCAGAGTGACACCACAAGGAGATGAGGATTATAAAAACCTACTTGCACTTCCAGTGAACCCCACTCTACAGCTAGGCAGATGCATTAGTCCTGAAGAGGGAAACCACTAAAAAAGTAGGGCAGCAGTTTCATCTGAGAGAAACAAGTTAAAACAATCCTTTTTGGGGATGTTTGCGTTAGAACAGTCTGCCTCTTTTGATAGTTCCAGGCAAAATATGCATTTATTTTAAAAGTTCATCTTACCAATTATGAACAATCAAGCTTTGTCAGTGGCAAGAATTAAAACACGTTAAAAAGCAACAAATTGTCCCTATGTTATGAGTCAAGAAAAAGGTTTTCTTTCAGATTCATAATGTCAGTCTGTGCTTCCAGCAAAAAAAGTACCTTCTCTCTGACTTTTGAAACAGAATGTTCCTTTTTGATGCTCCTGGGCTCCAGAGGATGAAGCCCCCTGATAGGAACATCTTCCATGCAGAGAGATGATGTTGTAAAGCCACCATCAGAAATCATTTACCTGTTAAAGTCATAAATTAAAAATTAGTACTGGAAAGTGGCCATTTGACCAGTTTTCTGTATTGTCCTAATCATGCTCCCAACTTCTGAGAGCAGGCTAAAAATCGCCTTCCTTCAGATCTAAGATAAGACTGTTTCCAATATTCTATGCAAAACTGTTATATAAACCCACTAATGTAGATGTCATCTTTGTGCATTCTAGCATTAGCCTACCCACTTATTCCAGAAACACAGGCAGGTAAAGCCTTGATGAGGAAACACCTCTCATGGGGATGCAGAAGCAGCCTCTTGTATGAGTCTACCCCTCCACCACACCTTCAGGGAACTGGATCCAAGGGAACTGTCACACCACCAGCACAAGAATTATTTTGAAGAAGTAAGGCTACCTGTGGAGGTGAGGGGACACCCTCTTCGCTGTTAGTACTGAAACCGCTCTGCTGCTCTGTGCTGCTGCTGGAGCAGCGTGTAACACACCCCATCAGACTGCACAGCCTGTTGGTATGCAGGTGCTCTGGAAGGGATCATGTTTTCCCTTCCCTGTTTCTCATTTGACATGAATAAAAATTGAATAAAATATAGGTGTTACCCTGGGAGCTGGAATCAGCACACAGTGCTTGCACCACTTGCACCTGGATAGCACAGGCTTTTTGCACAGATCTGGAAAGTTTGACATGCTCTACTAGCCTCAAAACTTGAACAGTAACCAGAAAATGCAAAAATCTTAATTCTGGTTTGGATAATTCATCACTGCACCACCAGAAGCAGTTTCCTGGATTTTTGACAAAATTATTTTATTGGGGACAAGGTTAACCAGCAGGGCTACAACTATGGTTAACTCCTGGCAACATACGACTGCTTTAGCAGAGGAATGACAACATACTCACCCTTGATGTCAAGCCATTAGTAGGTTGAGCCATGGGCACGGGATTTCTCTTTTTCAAGCTTCCCTAAGCCACAGCCACAATAACCTTTTCTGAGGACAAAGGGATGTAACATTGAGATTTCATAGCAACAGCCAAGAAAATGCTCAGGTAGATGTCAATCTTCAGGGACAAGCAGCTGAAAATAAAATCTAAACCAACAACATAATCAATTAATAGCAAAGACTATACATATAAAACATTGCTTGGAGAGAAAGCCAGACTGCAGCAGAGGCAACCACAAAGGGATTTCAATCCTGCACTTCTACCTCATATCCCAAGAGGAGGCAAGACAATGTCCAAAGCATTATTAGGGGCATGACTTCCAAAGAGGCTCAATCTTAAGTGCCTAACATTCACAAATCCAAGCACCTGGTTAAATGACTTCCCCTGAAGCATGCTGACTAGCACAGAGCCTATTTTTCCCCCACACATCATATAGGGGCCTTCAGGTCCCAGTCAGGCAGGATGTGGAAGCCCCAGGTCAAGACCATGAGGAGGGAATGCTACTGAATCTGCACCTACAATTTGATTTAAATCTGCTCAGCTCATGGCACAGGAAAGGGTAAATTAATTCAAATGTTCATTTTGTAAGCCACAACTTGAAATAAGTACTGGTATTGCTTCTACTACGTTTGACCATTTGTTCTGGAAATAAGATTACTTTTGATTTCTGAGCTGAAAGCTCACAAACATTTCTAAACATTTCTAAACACAACATTCCATTTGATGTAAATGTTTCAATAGAAACAGAGCTCTTTTACGTTTTTAAAGACTGCTTTAAAATGTTTTGTAGACTCAAAGCACTGAAATGATATTTAAGTTCCAGGTAGTAAGTAAATAACTAAAAAAATACATTAGCAGCATTTTTCTTCTCTTGGTTTGAATGAGTTCGCTAACGTCTACAGTGGGGAATGCTGATTATTAGCATAATTTTCAAACACAATTGCTGGTGTTAGACTCATTCGGCTCCTAATTCTATCACCACACTCTTCTCATTAATAGTAGCTTTAAAAGTTAAGTATAGATTTCAGTGGGAAGCTTTAATAGTTTGTAGACATGTACATCTGATATTCTTAGTTGCAAAGAGGGATAGCATCACTTTTAATACCAAGAAGAAAAACGGGCATAAATCTAGCTCTAAGTAGGGTTACATAACAGAGTTGCTTTAAGTCAATAACTTCTGAGTCTCGCTTTTATTCAAAAATTGTGTTTTCTACACAGACTCCTTTGCTTTCAAAATAACAGGGCTTAGCTGCTAGTCACTCTAACCATCCATAAAGGAGTGTTAAAAGTTTGAATACTTGTTGTGAAGCTATCAGGATGATAAATGACAGATAATAACCCCTTGATCAATGTAACTTTTATTTATTCATCTGGGAACACAGCAAGGGTATCATAGGCAACAACGCCGCCTAGGAGAACATGGATTTCACATAAACTGTTTTGGCAGAAATACGCATTTAAATAATCATCCAAATCACCACCTCACTATTTCTATCTGTAAAAAAGAACAACGACAAAGAAAACCCAAACAAATAAATTAAAAAAAAAAAGTCAGATCTGAACAAACAAACGGCACAGAATCTTATTCTATTTAATGTTTATACCAGCCACATTAGTCCCTGATTTTAGAAGTTGTAATTCTTAGCACTGACAATGTCACCTTTCATTTGCAAACACAGTACAAACACGAACTTTCTGCAATTATACCACAGTACCTCACCACAGCTAATCAACGTGACTGCCTGGTCCTCTCTCTGATCCTCTTTCTGCCTGGGGAAGTGCTGAATCAAGTTTGTGCTGCCAGCTCCCTGCATGAAGAGTGTCTGCATCCTGCAAAATGCTACATGTAGAAATGAATCTAGCGAGAAGTGACTGACCGAACTATAGCGTAAATTCAAGCAGGTTTTTCCACTCAGTGCTAATACGTTGTTTTATAATCCAAGAGTAACTGACCAGGGCAGGATATAATTTAATGTAAACCATTTGGAGTGAAAGGTATTATTTTGCCTAGTGAAATCTCCCCCTCGCAGTCCAGCTCACAGATAGAGTCAGTGGCAATCTCATGGTCAGGGGAGATCTGGGACATCCTATCAAAAGGGTCCTCACGATTTGCCTCACAGTCAACTACATTTGGGATCATGTTAACATAAGCAGTCACTATCTCCTTATGGAAAAGGGTGTCCTGGTTGTAAGAGATAAGCTCATTGCTTATATTAACAGTCTCCACTGGAGTACTAGAGCAAAACTGGCCACATCCCAGGAGGTTGGAGAAGACCTTTCTAAAGTCAGCATTGAAGGCATAGATGATGGGGTTGAGAGAGGAGTTGGCCCAACCAAACCAGACGAAGACATTAAAGGTGGTCTCACTGACACAGGGAAGGCCAGCGTGGGGGTCACCGGGAGGGCTCTCACAGAAGGGAACCATGCAGTTCAAGATGAAGAATGGTAACCAGCAGCAGACAAAGACGCCCATGATGACTGAAAGAGTCTTCAACACCTTGGTTTCTTTCCTGATGGAGGACTTGAGGCTTGTATGATGGTGGCAGTCAACGTGGCTGCTCCGGCAGCTCTGTGCGTGCTCGGCTGCCCTCTCCAGAGAAGAGATACGACGAATCTGCACCTGGGCAATGCGGTAGATTCGAGTGTAGGTAACAATCATGATAGCCACCGGGATATAAAAACTGATCAAGGAGGAAGAAATGGCATAAGTCCTGTTGAGGCTGGAGTCACAGCTCTCTGCTGATGCAGTGAGGGTATCATTGCCACCAGAGGTCCCGTCGGAGGGTCTCATCGCTGCGAGTGCCACCCATGTGGTGCTCATATCTTCCGCCCAGGTGGTGACAGCACCTGCTGCTGCCCAACTGGTGCCAAACCCATCTCCACTGTCACCAGCAGCAACAAAATCCCGGCCTTTGTGCCAGTTGAGCTGGACAGGGATGAAGGAGATGAGCACAGACAAAGCCCACGCCACGCTTATCATCACCAGCGCCAACCGCTGGGTCATCTTCCTCTCATAGCGGAAAGGGCTGGAAATAGCCCAGTACCTGTCCACACTAATCACACATAGGTTCAGGATGGAGGCCGTGGAGCACATGATATCGAAGGCCACCCAGACGTTGCAGAAAGCCCCAAAGGGCCAGTACCCGGCCACCTCAGCCACCGCCTTCCAGGGCATGACTAGCAGAGCCACCAGCAGGTCCGAGACAGCCAGAGACACGATGAAGATGTTGGTGACCTTG